CAATGTAGGGAATGTAATTCAGTCTCTTGGGGTCCTATATGTCATCCCAGGTCTATAAGCCAGGACTGGGGCAAGGTGGGGCTGAAGTCCGTCCTGGAGTCTCTCTTAAAGCTGTAGAAGGGCCGGGCGGTGGTGGCGCACGCCTTTAATCCCAGCACTCGGGAGGCAGAGGCAGGCGGATCTCTGTGAGTTCGAAGCCAGCCTGGTCTACAAGAGCTAGTTCCAGGACAGGAACCAAAAGCTACGGAGAAACCCTGTCTCGAAAAATCAAAAAAAAAAAAAAAAAGCTGTAGAAGGTATGTTTGAGCTGTCCAGGTTGGCAGTGTTTCTGGGTCAGCTCACTACCAACAGTGAACATTGGCTGTTGGTCAGAGGCCTTCAGTTCCTCCCCAGGGCTGATTGCTCAAGGTGGCAACTGTCAGCTGTTATACCATCCCTTCTGTCCCTGGGAGAGATCTGTGAGGGCAGATCCTACAGTGAGCTCTGTGGCCTGGCCTTCTCAGTGACTTAGTCAATCATGGGCAGGGAGGAAGAGTGTTCCTCGTGGAGAGGACCTAGGGTGCTACCTGAAGCCTGACTCTCGAGCAGCAGCAAACGCTGAGCCTTGCCATGGGCCAGGCCGTCTTCTGCCAGCTTTACTGGTCCGGTGAACCTTGTTCCACAACTTCCTGTGAGGACCTGTGTATTGCTTCCACACTTTACAGACAGGGAAACTGAGGCCTGGAGAGGCTAGAAGGGGTCATGGGAGTCAGGCCGGGTCAGGGACACAGCTTCCTCTGCTCAGCCATCAGTTCCTTTACTTCCCTTTTTCTTTCTTTCATTTTCAAGACAGGGTTTCTCTGTGTAGCCATGGTTGTCCAGAACACACTCTGCAGACCAGTGATGGAGGAAGGTCATTGGTTAATTAATAAAGAAACTGCTTGGCCTGATAGGTTAGAACATAGGTGGGTGGAGTAAACAGAACAGAATGCTGGGAGGAAAAGGAGGTGAGCTCGGACGCCATGCCTCTGCTCTCCAGGGCAGATGCAATGAAGCTCTGACCCAAGATGGACGTAGGCTAGAATCTCCCTGGTAAGTCACCACTTCATGGTGCTACACACATTAATAGAAATGGGCCAAGCAGTGTTTATATGAATACAATTTGTGTGTTATTTTGGGGCATAAGCTACCCAGGTGGCCAGGAGCTAGGTGGCAGGAACGCAGCCCCACAGCTCCCTACTACAGACCAGGCTGGCCTTGAACTCAGAAATCCACCTACCTCCACCTCCCTAGTGCTGGGATTAAAGGTGTGTGTCACCATCGCCCGACGGCCATCTGTCATTTCTACCATTTCTACCCTTCCTGGACTCTTAGGGTAAAAGAGCAATTGTGGTGGGGATGCAAGAGACCTGGAACTTTTATCAAGAACTACTGTTGGGGCTGGAGAGATGGCTCAGCAGTTAAGAGCACTGACTGCTCTTCCAGAGCATCCAGGTTCAGTTCCCAGCACCCACATGGCAGCTCACAACTGTCTGAAGATCCAGTTCCAGGGAATCTGATACCTTCACACCAGTGCACATAAAATAAAGTAAATAAACAATAAGAAATATTAAAAACAAAAACTACTGCTATCTCAAGGGGTTGAAATTCTGTCACCAAGGACCAGAGGAATGGGCCACTATTAAACACCGAGCTTTTGGTATGCAGAATTGATGAGTGATGCCCACTACAGCTTGCTGTACCAACTGATGATGCCATCTAGGGTATGGCGGATGTGGACGGGCACACAAGCAAACATCCAACCATGGTGGGTTGATCCTGTATTTTTGGAGTCAAGCCTGACTTGAACAAAACCATCTCTCTCCCTGTCAGTAAAATGAAGGCTAAGCTGTTGTCCTTGGAGCGCTTTTTTAGGATTTATGTGGCCTGTTTCCTCACTCAAATCACAGAAGAGAGAAGCTCAAAGTGAGGAAACACTTCAAGCGAGGGCTGCGTCCATTCTTGGACAGTGAGGACAGCAAGAGGACCACTGGGTCTGACACAGCCACTGTACTCTGACTGCTCTGTCATGACGGCACCAAAGCAACCATAGGCAAGAATGAACTGGCCCTGGGCCTCTGGGCCTCATACCTGGGCTTAGACTCTAACTTTAGCTTTCTCTAGTCTCTTTAGGCCCTTAATAGTCCCAGCAGGTGGCGCCAGGCCACTGTCCACCACTTGCCCACAGGGAAGCCCAGAGCAGATGGCAGAGCAGAAGCTGATGGAGGCTCCAGATAGATCTTCTTTAGCTGGACAAGCCTGCAGCAAACAGGATAGGTGGGACTCCCCTCTTTCCTTGGGGATGACCCTGCTGTGGTCAGGCTTCAGGTCCCGAGAGGGTTCTGCAATCAGTTCAGTGGTTGTACCCAACCCTTCCAAGATGCAATGGAGTGGAGGTAACAGGAAGCATCCTTCGGTGAGACTTCCTGAGTTCTTTCAGTGTACAGTGACCTGAGGTGAGAGGCTTCTGAGCCAGGGGGAGAGTGACCCTCAAAGTCGGTGAGGAATGTATGGTAGAGGCGGCTTCTCCGGGGTGTTGAGCATTCAGTGGGGTCTTACAGGAGGGATGGGGGTGAGCACAGGGAAGGGGAGCAGAATGACAGAAGAAGAGTAAAGGAACAAGGCTTGCCCTGGAATGAGTCGTAGGACCAAGGAGGGAGTCTAAGGAGAGAGGACGAGGAGAACAGAAAGGCATCATCCCATGGTGACAGATGCCAAGGCCAACGAGAAGGGGAACACGAAGGCTTCCTTTTGTTTTGAGAAAGTCTCACATACTCCAGGGGCTCCAGCTCACAAAGTAGTAGAGGCTGATACTGACCCTCCTGCCTCCAAATGAAATCTCAGAAGAGGGCCACCCTATCCAGCTACAGACGGTGTATTATAAACATTACCTCTGTGTGTGCTCGCATGGTGTGTGTGTGTGTGTGTGTGTGTGTGTGCGCACACACACATGCACACACATATGGGGGCTAGAACAACATCAGGTATCTTTATGGTTCTCCATTTTTTTTAAAAAATATACAGCCTTTATTCTGAGACAGGGTCTGTCTATGTAGTCCTGGCTGTCCTAGAACTTGATATATAGACCAGGTTGGTCTTAAACTCAGAAAGAGCCCTTGGGGGCTGGAGAGATGGCTCAGAGGTTAAGAGCACTGACTGCTCTTCCAGAGGTCCTGAGTTCAATTCCCACAACCACATGGTGGCTCACAACCATCTGTAATGAGATCTGGCGCCCTCTTCTGGCCTGTAGGTGTACATGCAGGCAGGGCACTCTATATATAAAAAAATAAATAAAAATAAAATATTAAAAAAAAAAAAAGAGCCTCCTGTCACTGCCTCCCTAGTGTTGGGATTAAAGGCATGAGCCACCATACCCAGTAAGACACAACCTTTGTAAAATACTTAATTCTTTTGAAAAATTGTTTTATGTGTATGTGTGTGTGCTTGCATGTATGTATGTGTACCACCTGAGTGCCTGGTGCCTATGGAGGCTAGGAGAGAGTGCAGGATTCTCTGAAACTGGAGCTACAGAATGTGAGCCACCCTATGGGTGCTGGAAACCGAACCCAGGTCCTCTGTAAAAGCATCAAGTGCTCTTAACTGAGTCATCTATCCAGTCCCAAAAAGACAAAAAAAAAGTGTGTGCGTGTGAATGTGTGGGGGTGAAAGTGTGAAAGTCACAAGGCAGCGGGCGGTGGTGGCGCACGCCTTGAATCCCAGAATTTAGGAGGCAGAGGTAGGTGGATCTCTGAGTTCGAGGCCAGCCTGGTCTACAAGAACTAGTTCCAGGATAGGTTCCAAAGCCACAGAGAAACCCTGTCTTGAAAAACCATTAAGAGAGAGAGAGAAACAAAAAAAGAAAAGAAAAAGAAAGTCAGAGGGCAACCTGAGAGAACTGATCTTCTCCTTCGTTATGTGGGTACTAAGATTTGGAGGCAAATGCATTTATCCACTAAACCATTTCCCTAAACCAAGATGCTCGTTTGATACGTTCTCACTACGTAGGCCTGGCTGGCATAGAATTCTGCCGTCTCTGCCTCCTAAGTGCTGGGATTAAAAGTGTATGTCATGACGCATGGTACATTTACTTATTTTCTTACATCTATTTATTTATTTGTGGGTGGTAGAGGCGGGGTGTGCACATGCCACAGGTAGCAGCAGCTCTTGGTCCGAGTGGGCTGGGACTTCCAAGCACCCCCTGTGCAGGTGCAAATGTGTAGTCAACCCCAAGTCAATTTTTTTTTTTTTTTTTTTGGTTTTTCGAGACAGGGTTTCTCTGCAGCTTTGGTGCCTGTCCTGGAACTAGCTCTTGTAGACCAGGCTGGCCTCGAATTCCCAGAGATCCGCCTGCCTCTGCCTCCCGAGTGCAGGGATTAAAGGTGTGCGCCACCACCGCCCGGCTTCCCAAGTCAATTCTTAGCTGACCTTCTTCCTGCAAAGGGCCTGAGCTGCGCCCAGCCCAAGAACCGCCTGGCTTGGGTTGTTTTCCTTCCCTGGGGAGCCTGCATCTGGTAAGCAGGAGGGTCAATGTGGAAAGACTTTTTGGTCCTCCGTGGGATGATGGCTTGACCCATGCTTCCTTTCACAGCCTAACACCAAGAGCACACCACATCAACTTTTAGTTCAAACTCTTGACACCTACTTGTAGGAACCAGGCAAGGTCACTTAGACCGGTGGAACACCAGCCTCACTCTTTTTGCTGGAGCCTTCAGGACCCCTCTGCTCCACAGAGGGTAGCCCTAAAACCCGCGATCGCTTGCTTCATCTCCAACCGTCTCTGCTCTCTGCGTGCCTAGCAGCGCCCGTTGGCACACGGGAGCACTAAGCTCCTGAGAGCATCACACGAAATGAGGCTGCCAGTTCACACCCGAGCGGGGACGCCCCGCCCACTATTGCGCACGCGCACCAGCACGGAGTCGACCCCGCCGGAGCGCCCTTAGATCCCCATCTGCGCCTGCGCAGAATAGGTTATGCCTCCGGCTGCGGCCGCAGGCCATGACGTCATAGACGGCTCTGGGCGCGCGCGGACGCTTCGCGCGGGCCCGAGGCGGGCGCTGCGAGGCTCCACGGTGTCGGCGCAGGCGGAGGGGGCGTAAGGATCGCGCTACGGTGGCCGCCGAGGGACGACGCTACGGCTCCCACGCTGGGACAAATGCCTCCTGCCCGGCCCGGGCGCGCCCACCCCTCCGGGCCGGCACCAGCCGGGGGCAATTGAAGAGCCGCGCGAAGTGACCCCATCTTCGGCGGCATGAGCCCGCCCCGGCAACGTAATCCCGGGGCACAGGCTCGCCCGCGGGCCCGGTCCCCAGCGCCGTCGGCCTGCCGCATGGTTCCGGACACCGGCACCGCCGCGGAGAGGGCACCGGGTGAGCGGCCGAGGACGGGCGGGGACCGGCCGTGCTTCCAAAGACCGTCTCCACGGCAACGGCGCCCCGACACCGGAAGTGGCGCCTGCAGAGGACGCGGGCAGAGGGCCGGGGTCGCGCGTAGCCTTCGGGCTTGTGAGGGCCGCGTCTCCAGCGCTGGGTTGTCGGGCCCTGGAGAACGGAGCCTCTTGCTCTGGGGTCCCGTGCGCGGAGACGCGTGCCATGGTGCCGGGCCGCCCCAGGGCGGGCTGGGAGGCGCTGGAGTGCACGCACCTCCGCCCGAGTACACCTGCTGCAGAATGCAAACCCTTACTACGCGGTGTCCAGTGACACACCCGAATGAGGGCCATTTCCCCATCTAGCTGGGTAAAACATAGCTTAAGCCCCCGGTCTCGTGACAGGTTTCTTCCCACTGAGCCTCGGCCACAGCTGCACTGGCGGCCATTTGCTCAGGACCTGCGGCGGTGGAGGAAGCTGATCTGGAGTCGAACTCGCAAAAGCCTGTTGGCGATGTTTCCCTGTCCTGTTACCAACTTTTACTCTCTAATGTCGTATAGTCTGAACTTTATTTTTTTCCCCATCCACAAATTAACATAGGCAGCTGCAAATGACATCTCCTTGGTGAAACATGGACCACATGCCGTTTCCCTTCTCTCTGTGGCCCAGTTTGGAGTACTCTGGCCCTATGCCCAGCCTAGAGAAGCCAGCAATGCTTCCGTGTACAGGCAGCCCCCCGGGAAAGAGGTCTTGTCGCCTCCGTTTACAGAGCAGGGCAGTGGGAGGTGAGGTAGCCTGCCAAAATACTTCTAGAGTTCAGGTCCAGCAGGTGACCTTAGGGTCTGGCAATGTGAACACCCTGTCGTCATTCCAGTCCCATTGTGTTTTTGCATGGGGGGTGTCCTTGAAGGAGCTTGTTGCTAGATAAATCACCACGGAAGCCCTGGAGAGTAGTGGGCCAAGGAATGCAACCAGCAGAGTAGTGCATGGGGTCTTCAAGGAACTATAAGGAGTTGACTTAGCTAGACTCCTGTCCCCTATCACTGATGGCCCTTAGAGGGGCCCTCCCTTGGCAGCTGCTAAGAGAGACATAATTACTGTCGCTTCCCCAGGACTGTGAGATACAGCAGTACTTTTGCTTTGCACAGGTGTGGCTCTGTGAAGAGATTAAGGGGACAAGCTTAGGCTGCAACTGCTTTGCCAAGGACACCCATGCTGAAGTCTGATCTGGCAATCTCCTTGTACCTTTCCCTGCAGGCCGACACCTCCCCCAAGGCTCGGCTGAGGGCTCCTAGGTGCTGATGACACCTATGCCAGCCATCTGGACGCTGTGCTCCCACTGCAAACTAGCCCTGCCGCCCGGGCCCAATGCCGGTCATGCCCATCCCGCGGCGGGTGCGCTCCTTCCACGGCCCGCACACCACCTGCCTGCATGCAGCCTGCGGGCCAGTGAGGACCTCTCACCTGGCCCGCACCAAGTACAACAACTTCGATGTGTACGTCAAGACCCGCTGGCTCTACGGCTTTATCCGCTTCCTGCTCTACTTCAGCTGCAGCCTCTTCACAGCGGCCCTCTGGGGCGCTCTGGCCGCGCTCTTCTGCCTGCAGTACCTGGGAGTCCGCGTGCTGCTGCGCTTCCAGCTCAAGCTGTCGGTGCTGCTGCTGCTGCTGGGGCGGAGGCGTGTGGACTTCCGCCTCATGAACGAGCTGCTCATCTACGGCATCCATGTGACCATGCTGCTAGTTGGGGGTCTGGGCTGGTGCTTCATGGTCTTTGTGGACATGTGAGGACCCAGCCTCCATGGGGCTCTTGATTGTGCTGTACCACATTTCTTTCCTTGAAGGGTGGGACTGGTAGGGGCCTCTTTTTGCCCCATTCCAAAGGTAAGGCCTGAAGCACACACTCCCACTGAGGAGCGAAAAGGGCTGTGACTACTCTGTGATGGGGACACCACATCTCCCTGGTGGCTTCTGCGCTACCCTTCCTGTGCAGTTTCCCAAACATGTGACATCCCTCTTAGCTTCTTGCCTCTGTACGTTTTCAGGTTGGCCAGTGGGTGACCCGTCTGTCCTCTGTGCACCTGGAGACCTTCTGTGTGACATCCTCACTATCCAGCTCAACCAGTGAGACACACAAAGGTGCCTCTGGGCTGCACAGCCCCTTTATGTGCCCTGATCCTGGCGCTAGCCTCAGGGACCCAGACCTGCTACTGTCCCTAGTTGTGCCCCCTTCTGAGCTGCTTGATCCTAAGCCCATGGAGCACTCTTTGCTGTCACCAGGTGACTGTGTCTATCTTGTACCCCAAGGCAGGTCTCAGGGTCACCTTGGTTTGCATAGGTGCCATCCAGCAGGACCCCATATATGGCTTTGACCCGTCCCTGATACAAGAGAGCACAGACACCAAGGCTTGGACTCCAGAGCGGGGACTGGTCCGTACTCTGGGCAGGTCTGTGTCAGGCCATGCTGGAGCTCCACACACTGAAAGAACCTAGGGAGGCCACTTCTTCTTAGCACTGGGAGGAGCTGTGACTGTCTCTGAGGGATGGAAGCCTCCAGCAGCCTCCCAGAGGCTAGGGTAAATTACCTGTGGAAGACAGGAGGAGCAAACAGATTGTGCCTCCTCGGTGGCATTTACCAGCCCAGCGGGCAGCCTGGACGAGCTAGCTGCACCTTCCCCACATGGCTGTCAGGCCCGGTTTGTGAGATAAAAAAGGAAGGGAGCGCCTGACTACCTTTGGCCTCTGTCAGGAGTGGGTTGTGGCTCTCACTGGTGACGGGCCTGGGTGGCAAGTGAAGTGCTTTGAGTAATAACTGCAGGAGCAGGACCCTGAGCAGATCCTGCCAACACATGCTTCACCCCAAATTGTCACCCCACACCCTGGGCATGGGGATGGCCCCTTTGATGCGACCTTGCCAGGAAAACCAGCTGTGTTCCGATGAAGAGAAACTTGAAGAAACCCAAGCAGGGAAAGCAAAGATGCAGGACTGTCCACCTTGCTCTTTAACTTGTAACCAACTGTGCCCATTGTTCTAGCGGGAGGGCTCAAGGAGGAAGTCCATCTGCCTCCCTGGACAGCAGGTGAGGTGCCTTCCCAGTGGACCCCCCACTGCTTGCTTGCTGCAGAGAATTGTTTGCACTAAATAACACTTCCCCCAAAGCAGCTTTGTTCTTTGTTAATTAGCTCATGTTCCTCAGAGCAGCCTGAAGCCCCATTTGCTGGGTGACGGTGGGTGTGTCTGAGGGCTGATGGTGGGAAAGATGACAGGACCTTGTCACCCATTGCACACCCAGCTGCCCAGTGTCCTGAGTGCCTGTTAAATTCTTTATGAGATGAATCACCTGCATTAAACCTATTTTTTTAATGTGTTGATGGCGTGATTGCTTATGTTTTGCTGTGCTGGGGCCCCGTACGTGCTGAGCAAGTGCTCTGAGACAGTGAAGCCCAAAAATCTCTTCCTTCTCAAAGAATGTAGTGTAGGGTGTCAGAGACCATTCCTTGCAGGATTGAGTTCTGAAAGCGTCTGAGTTTAATGTTAAGTGTAGAATCCTCAAAACAGTAATTCTACCGTGTCGGCTGGCCTGCCAAGAACCTAGAGTTGAGTTGTTCAATAAAAGTGAGGGATGGATTTCTGTTGCTTTCCGGAGAGGATGGGAAAGCTGTGGGTGCCTTGCTCACTGGGAGATGTAATATCTAGATGCTGGGAGGAACAGGAACCCAAGATTTCTCTTTTAGCTGTGTTTGTGGATGTTACTAGGGATTTTTTTTTTTTTTTTTTTTTGATTTTCGAGACAGGGTTTCTCCGTAGCTTTTGGTTCCTGTCCTGGAACTAGCTCTTGTAGACCAGGCTGGCGTCGAACTCAGAGATCTGCCTGCCTCTGCCTCCAGAGTGCTGGGATTAAAGGCGTGCGCCACCACCGCCTGGCTGGGATTTTTTTTTTTTAAATTCCACATGCATGTTGTATAGACTGCATGTGTGTCTGTGTGCCACTTGCATGTCTGGTGCCCATGGAGGCCAGGAGAAAGTACTGGAGTCCATCGGACTGGGATTAGACAGTTGTGAGCCATCATATAAGTTCTGGAGATCAAAAATGGGGTCCTTTGGAAAAGTGGCCAGTGCTCTTAACTGCTGAAGCAGCCCTCTAGCTGTTACTAGGAATTTTGAGGGAGGGAGTAGGGTCTCGCTAACTTGTATAGGCTGGCCTTGAACTCCCACATGCTGTGATCAGCATGAGTTACCATGTCCAGTTTGGGGCTTGTTTTGTGTGTGTGTTTGTGTGTTTGTGTTTGTTTTTGTTTTAGTTTTTCTAGACAGGGTTTCTCTGTAGCTTTGGAGCCTGTCCTGGAACTAGCTCTTGTAGACCAGACTGGCCTCGAACTCACAGAGCTCTGCCTGCCTCTGCCTCCCGAGTGCTGGGATTAGAGGTGTGTGCCACCACCGACCAGCAGTGTGTGTGTGTTAAAAAGATTTTTTGTTTTATGTCTATAAGTGTTTCTCCTGCATGTATGTATGTATATCATGTATGACCTGATATCTGCAGAGGCCAGAAGAGGGCAATAGATCACTCTGGAATTGGTTGGTTGTGAGCCCCCCCCCCCCCCCCCCGTGGTGCTGGGAAGAAATCCAGCACCTTGGAAGAACAGTTAATACTCTAACACTCTAACAGGCCATCTCTCCAGCCTTGCATCTTGTTTGGGCCATTTGTTTTGTTTTGTATTTTGAGATAGGGTCTCAGCCAAGCGAGGGAAGCAAACACGTTTGATTTTAGCATTCAAGAGGCAGAGACAGGCAGGTGTATGGATCTCGAAGTTAGAGATCCACCTGCCTCTGCCTCCTGAGTGCTGGAAATGAATACAACAGCAAGTCCACACCCGAGTTTTAGGGGGTTTTGTTTGTTTGTTGTTTTGTGTGAGTGTGTGTGTGTGTGTATGTGTGGTTTTTTTTAAGACAGTGTTTCTCTGTGTAACAGCCTTAGCTGCTATCCTGGAACCAGCTTTGTAAACCAGGCTGGCCTTGAACTCAGAGAGATGCACTTGCCTCTGCCTCTCAGGTGCTGGGATTAAGGGCATGCGCCACCACACCTAGCAAGTTGTAGTTTTTTAATAAAAGTAAATTGCAATTCCTTTGTCCAAGAGGAGGGGGAACTTAGCTTCATAGACCAGGGCTGGAGCTTGGTATGGATGGGGCTTCTGGCCCAGGTAAAGTCATGTTGAGAGATAGTCCTGGCATGGCTGCCCAGGCACACTTATCAAGAATCCAGCCGGGCGATGGTGGCACACGCCTTTAATCCCAGCACTCGGGAGGCAGAGGCAGGCGGATCTCTGTGAGTTCGAGACCAGCCTGGTCTACAGAGCTAGTTCCAGGACAGGCTCCAAAGCCACAGAGAAACCCTGTCTCGAAAACCCCCCTCCCAAAAAAAAAAAAAAAAAAAAAAAGAATCCAAAGCTGGGCTCAGTAGCAGATAGGCATGGCGAGGGTAGCTATGCAATGACAGTAGCCCCCTAAGCCACTCACTGAATCAGAGGAGACACACATTTTTTCCAGGAATTTTCTGGGCCTGCTTTGTTTTCTGTGGCTTCGGAGTGTTTGTATGGTTGGTTTTACAGTGCTGGGGATGGAACCCAGAGCTGAACTTGTAACAGACAAGTGGCTTTCGCTTAGTCTCGCCCAAAGCCCTAGAGTGTTCCCCGTTGTCCCTTTGCTGGGAAGAACAAGAAATCAAGTTGAAAGGCCTTGTTTGAGTGGACACCATCATCATTTCCCTGTCGGGCTACTGGGCCACTGAGCACGGGGAACATGACTACTAAGAACCGAGTTGCTCAGATCACAGGTACCCGAGGGCCAGTGGTTGGCACAATAGAGGTATTAACCTGCTCCAGGATCTGGAAGCCATGGCTTCCTAGTGTGCCATGGGCCTTGAAAGAGCCTGGTTGAGCTAGTCCCTCTTGATAGCCCAGAGCCCTCTTGGCACTTCAGAGTTATGAAGTAACTCCTGGCTTCCCTGCTCAGCAGGATGGGCCTGTGGGTCACATTACCTGGACATTAGCACTGTTTTTGAGTGTGTTGGCCTTGAGGCCCTAGGTGATGTTTTGAGCTATATCTGGGGCTGCAACCTGTCTGAGGAAGGCTGGTGATTGCTCTTAGCAACAGACACATGATGGAGGAAGGTCATTGGCTAATAAAGGAACTGCCCTGGCCCATTTTATTGGTTAGAGGATAGGTGGGAGGAGTAAACAGAACAAAATGCTGGGAGGAAGAGGAAGTGAGCTCAGAGACTTGACAGCTCTCCTCTTGGGAGCAGACGCCTGAGAGAGACGCCATGCCCCGCTCCCGGCATGAAGCTCCGACCCAGGATGGACTAGGCTAGAATCTTCCCGGTAAGACCGGTGCTCACAGATTATTAGAGATGGGTTGATCGGGATAACAGAATTAGCCAGTAAGGGCTAGAGCTAAAGGGCCAAGCAGTGATTAAATGAATACAGTTTGTGTGTTGTTATTTCGGGCATAAGCTAGCCGGGCAGGCGGCTGGGGTGCCAGGGATGCAGCCCCGCCGCTGCCCTTACTACTTCATATGGCGCCCAACGTGGGGCTCGAACCCACGACCCTGGGATTAAGAGTCCCATGCTCTACCGACTGAGCTTCATGCCGGGAGCGGGGCATGGCGTCTCTCTCAGGCGTCTGCTCCCAAGAGGAGAGCTGTCAAGTCTCTGAGCTCACTTCCTCTTCCTCCCAGCATTTTGTTCTGTTTACTCCTCCCACCTATCCTCTAACCAATAAAATGGGCCAGGGCAGTTCCTTTATTAGCCAATGACCTTCCTCCATCAGACACATAAGCCAGGTCCTGGAGAAGGCAGCATTTTGAAGCATAACCCAAGAAACTCCAGTAGTAACTCTGCTTCTTCAGGGTGGAGAGACACGTTAGGACTACTCCCCAGGCCTGAAATTCTTCTAAATGTCTTGTTTTGAGCAGATTAGTTTGTTTATAAAGGCACTACTTCGGAGTATAAAAATGGGAATGACCGGGCAATGGTGGTGCATGCCTTTAATCCCATTACTCGGGACGCAGAGGCAGGCGGATCTCTGTGAGTTCGAGGCCAGCCTGGGCTACAAGAGCTAGTTCCAGGACAGGCTCCAAAGCTACAAAAAAAAAAAAAAGGGGGGGGGACGACCCAGCTGCTGTAGGGCAGGGCAGGGGGAGCTGAGGACAGGGGAAGTAGGAGAAGTGATGGGCCAGCCTTGGACACAGATACAATGTACCTGCCCACAGAAGTCCTCAGTGGCTGGATCAACACTGACAAAGCTGCCCATCTGGTCAGCTGCTGCCACCCTGAGCCCATGCTGCATATGAGGTAAAAAAGACAACGGGGACAGCTTCCAGGCTGACCTTGTGACCTGGCTTTGTAAAGAAGGGTAGGCAAGGAGTGCTGGCTACCCGGTGGGTGGTGGGAAAGGAGAGGCATGAAGGATAGGAGTTCAGTCACCTGCTAGGACTGTTCTGAGGTTGGCAGGGCTGCCCAGTCTAGAGCTGGCTCAGGGGACCCAGTGACAGCACTTGGCCAGCAGTCTCAGGTGGCCAGATGTTAATTTGAGAGACAAGGGCTGGGTTCTGGGTCTTTGTGGAGGGTGGCAATATATGATTGGTCCACACCAACAAGAAAGGGACATCCAAGGTAGAGGGGACTGTCCCATGAAGACCTGGGGGCTCGTCCCTGGGCAGGATGGTTGGGAGCCAGGGCCAAGGAAGGAGGAGTGGAGGTGAGCAGGCTGCAGTAGGAAAGCTCAGCCAGGGGTGAGCGATACAGAAGGAAAGGCTGAAGCCAATGCTGTCTCCCCATGACTCGGGTTCTTTCTAGTTCATGTGAGGTACAGGGAAGGGGTCACTGTGTGTCACCTACAATCCTGGGGAGAGGATATATATATATATAATAGTCTCCCTCAGTAGCAAATGGGATCAGAGCCAAGAAGCCAGCAGAGGGCGAGTGACGACAAGAAGGGTGCCGTGTGGCTGGAGAATTTCTAGAAATAAGAAGCCAGGTGCTGCAAGGCCCCAAGACTTGGGATGGACTAGAGGCTCCCATTCGCTGCTCCTGTACCAAGTAGCAGTTCCTGTTGTCCCTGGTGGAGACCCAAACCAACACAGGACCTGTGACCTTCCCAGGGTGGTGTGAGGAAGGGAGCCAGATGGTCCCTACTCAGCAAGGATGGCAGGGGCAACCCAGAGCATAACCCTGTGCTGCCAGTCTCAGCTGCACAGTTATTGACGTCCCCTGACCTTGGGAAGGCCCTGTCCCTGCCAGCGAGTGAGGGGGAGGGAGCCAGCAGCGCCTTCGCATGCTGAGTCAGCGTTTTGTGGGGACGGAAACGTGC